CACTCGTGCACAAGTTTCTCAGAAATTAATGCCTAAAGAAATTTGAAAACTTTTAAGTTGTATCAATATCGATGTGTTAAACCTGTTCTCTTAAACCATTCCTCATTACTCAAAGCAGCAAACATTTATTGCATAAAGATCTCATTGCACATATAGTCTTAATAAAATTGGAATCTACACTGTAAGTTTTCTGCAGTAGACCCAACAGAAACGTAGCCCTTAAGATAGTGCTTTTAATGGCAAATTAGGGTTTCTTAAATGAAAAATGTTTGAAATTTTTTTTTTTCTGTTCAGATAAGAATATCCATATTTCATGTACAATTAACAGATACAAGAAAGTGAGAATCTACTCAAGTGGCACTTAGAAACTGTACATTACAAAGTAAGTATTACACTGATGTTTCAAACAGTGCTTTAGGCAAAACGTTTTACCTTTTTTAAGGTGGTTCATTAACAAAATCCATTTTGTTTTAAAGGAAGCAGTTTTCAATTTATGAGTCTAAAGAAATACAAAATACTCAAGAGTTCAAGATTTGTTAGTCTTGTCTTAAAAACTCAGGTAGAAACAAGAATCTAAGTCTAGTTAGTGATGATGGTTCAACTCCAGGTGCTCCCTTTGGGTCCTGTTTGGGGGCTGGTTAGCTCAGCTGGTTAGAGCATGGTGCTGATAACACCAAGGTCGCAGGTTTGATCCCCGTTCGGTCCCCACGTGTTGCCTGATCTAGTTGAGAGGTGTCCCTGCCCATGACAGGCTGGATTAAATGATCTCTAAGGTCCCTTACAGCCTAGGCCATTCTATGATTCTATGATTCTATGAGTCTGTGATTCTATGATTCTACGATTCTACGATTCTATGCTTCTATGATTCTGTGATTCTACGATTCTACGATGCTATGATTCTATGATAACCTGGAATGTTTATGGACACAGCACTGCATTTCTTAGGCTTAATGGTAAAACTCCCATTGGTGTTGGTAGTGTAGAACTGGATCCCACTGGAATTTTGTAGTTGGACATTTTTTACACCTGCGATCAGATACACAGCCCTATTATTCGATAGGCTGCAGAAACATTCTTATATCATCCATCAAGCAGATTATCTTTATAAATAAGAAGAGATTTAATAATAATTAGCAGTATTTTAGATTTATTCTAGGTTTGTGTAGTTCTATTTTGAATACTTTATTTTCCCATTCATCAACTGCTACTTTTACAGACTTTTCTGGAAACAAGTATTTTTCAAACTCTGGTTAAAAAAAATTAAAATACAACTTTGCTTCTAAAACACTTTACTGAACAATATTTTAAAAATGAGTTCTTGGCTTAAGTGATTAAACATCAAAAAAGTTTCCATAGGAGACTCTTTTAATCGTGATCTCAGAGGTCTTTTCCAGCCTCAATAATTCTGTGATTCTATGTAATTCTGTGACAATTTAAGAAGCTACCTAGGTCACTGCAGCGTTAATGGTAGAAAATTTTTATTAGGGAATTCTGTCCCCATGTATCTTTCTTGCCTTAGTTTACTTCAGTGGAGTGTGGGAGTAAAAGGAATCACCTGGATCATCCATTGATGAATCAGGAATCATGAACATGGATCAGACGTTCAACCTAGAGCTACTACAGACTATCCACATGCACAATGCATTACAAAACCTTTCAACTGCTCTTTAACATCTGTGCTGTTAAAACCAAACAAAACTGCCACATCTGGAATATTGTGTCCAGTTCTGGGCCCCTCAGCTCAAGAGAGACAGGGAACTGCTTGAGAGAGTCCAGTGCAGAGCCACAGAGATGATGAAGGGAGTGGAACATCTCCCTTAGGAGGAAACGCTGAAGGAGCTGGGTCTCTTTAGCTTGGAGAAAAGGAGGCTGAGGGGTGATCTCATAAATACTTATAAATATGTCAAGAGGGAGTGTCAGGAGGACAGAGCCAGGCTCTTTTCAGTGACGTCCAATGACAAGACAAGGGGCAATGGGTACAAGCTGGAACATAGGAGGTTCCACAGAAATATTAGAAAAATTTTTTTCACTTTTTCACTTATCTCCAGAGAAGATGAGAACGAAAAGCACCTAGAAGCCACGTTTTTCAGAGGAAAGGAAAAAAATAACCACTTTGCTTCTACTGCATGATCAGCAGAGGTACTGAAGCAATGGTTTAAAAATGATGCAGAAAAAGCTAGCAGCCCATTCTTCTTCCCAAGTCCCCTGGAGATTTAAGACTCTCTCACTGGATGGATTTGTATCACAAGCTTAAACTCCTTCTCCTGATTTTCACATTTTGTATAGCATGGCAGTACTTTTCCAGGCTTATCAAGCACTACCATAAATCAATGCACACTTTTTTGTCTTCTCCTGAGTTTGGGAGTTAATGTGACCCACTGGCAGACATTTATAATTGTATCAATGCTATTCTTAAATTTAAATTATCTTCTTTGTCATGTACATTACTCCATATGATAGACATCCTCTTCTCTTGGTCACTATAATAGCTGTTACATATAGCACCCCTGAATCAAGTCAATGAAATCTGCACATAAATAGTTTGCAATCACACATTTTTTGGAATTAAAATAGTGTCTGAGGCCTGATCATGTTTACATTTGTAACTAACAACTGTAACACACAGAACAGTCATCTTTTCTTTCTTGGTTATTCTAGATGAGGTTTTTCCCTGGCTGAAGCATAGACGTGCCCTTTTCCTATTTTGCTTGGCTGATGATTTCTTATCTGTATTAATCTCAGGAAAGGTGAGCTAACACAGTGAGATGCCTTCCTTTTAAATTTATGCACACTATGAGTTTACATATTTGTTAATGCATTTACCTGAATCTGTCCAGTTGGCTCTATCTCCTAGTGTGCTGGTGTGATACCACCAAACCCAAAGAATAATAAAGATACAGATAGACATTTGATACACAGAATACTTATCATGCACATCTTTTTCCTTTCCTTACAGCTACAGGTATTGACCATGACAGAATACAATGTGTACTACCGAGTAAAAGAGGGAAAGGAATGTTTTTGTGTCTCAAAGGCACGTGCTCTGTCATGACTTGCATCCATCCAGGAGATGTTTCCTTGTGTTAAGAAGCTTGATTGCTAAAACGAAACTTGGAAGAGGTCCTCGACCTGTGCTAACCCAATTGCACTGAGGCCCTGTCCTTGGGTTAGTGTGAGTTGGCCTAATCCAAAACCATGCCAGGGACCATGCTGATGACTTAATGGCATGGGTGATCCCTTGCTAGTTCTCAGGCCTGTGCCCAGGCCCTGGCCAGTTTACTGCTATGGACATAGTCTAAGGCCTGGTCCAATCCCACTACATCAACAAAGTCAATAGGGTCTCCCCAGTGAGAGTCAGACTTGGCCTTAGGCATGTAATTTTCTTAACATTCAGAAGATTACAACATAAGCAAAAATAACCCCAAAGAAAAACAAAAAATAGAAACTTGAAAATGAAACATATGCTTGCAGATTCAGTGCAAAAGCAAACTGAAGCAGAAGTTGCTAATATGGTTTTAGTACTTTGTGAAGGTGCCAGCTGGATGGATGATAATTTTTCTACCCCTGCAGGGCATCAAAGCTTTTAAAAAATCATTCTTTTCACACATATTAGCACTTAGCTTATTAAAACAGATGATACTTTTTTTTTTTTTTTGTAAAGCTGCCTGGGAGTGTCTGGAAATATAAAATCTGAGAGAAAAGTCTCATTTTGACCACCCAGTCTAACAAACAACAAACACTGACATGACATACCATGGCTGAGAGTCTATGTTATGGGACCTTCTGTGACTGCCACAACTGTAGTGTCACAGTAAAGACTGTGAATTGCTGTTATGAAAACATTTGCTGTAACTTGCATAATTAAATGAAACTGCCAGCAAAGCTTTCTAAAATACTTAGGAGATGACACACAAATAAATACATTTCAAAGTCTGTATTATGTTCCAGAATTTGTTTTGCAATAAATTCCCTGCACAATGCCAAAGAGGACTTCTTCCCCTGTTCAAATTTCTACATAATTACAAGTGACTGACATAATTGTCATGTAAATTGATCCAACTTTATAACAGAATAACTTTTATTTTAGACATATTTTATATGTGCAGTGCTTTGAATTTATACAGAAGGTACAATTTCAACTGTCTACAGCTTCTCCTTCAGACAACTCGGAATGGGACATACTAGACGTAAATTAGAGGTCAGAACTTGAATGAACAGAAATATGCCTGGGAGGGTTTCTAATGGCCTTATAGGAGAGCCTTGCATGAAGGAAATTTTTGTAGAGTAGGTGATCATTTCTAGCAAAAAGAAAAGGCATCAGAGTAAAGGAATGAGTGAAGGGAGGCTGCAGAAGCCAGTATTGGAGCTGAGGGAAATTATAGCAAAGATTCAGGCTGGCTAGCAACATGTGGACCTTTGAGGATGACGTCAAGGATTATTCTGACCTTGCAGAAGTGGGATTAAAGTTTCAAAAATGAGTTCAACAAGTTTGACCAACTTTAAGAATTTATAAGTCTTCAGCTAAGAATTCATAACATACTATAAGTCATTCCATGAAAGTAACAGTGAAATCCATAGATGTACCTGGCATAACTGGCCTCTTTCTGTATATGAGCAGGCAGTGATACATACAAATTCTTTATTCAGTTAGGGAAATTAGGTCTGCAACAGAGTCCACAAACCAAACCAATCCAGTTTTCTCCATTAGCACATTAAAAATCAAAAGACAGAATAAAATTAGACTACTCACAGTGGAAAAATGACTATTTCAAACAATAATCTACCAATTTTTTTTATGCCTTCCATCACTTAGAGGTTTCAGGCAGAAAATGACTAAAACAAGGCCACCCTTGACTGCTGAAGATACTAAATAAAAAGCAAAATAAAATATGATCAACAAGGAAGACTATCTGAATGGTTTCTTCAGTATTATCAAAATGCAGCTTATACCTTCTGATGTAGCAATGACACCAGCAAGCTTTGCAAGAGTAGTTACTTACATCAAATAATTTCTCTATGTACATTTCCTCATTGACCTTTTCTCGAAGTATATCCTGGTTTTGTCGAACAAACATAATGTAGGTGTCTGCCAGATCCATCCCTGGTTTCTGTGGAGACATAAAGTAAGAGGAGAAAGTAGTGGGAAGGGAAAGAGACAGACCATTCAACAATTGAGATTTAAAAAAAATTATACTTAAATGACAACTGAGATTATGTTACAATGTTCACACACGTAGAAACTGTATTTACTAAATCTGCAGTGAATTCTGGGTTAACTACCAAGTTCAGGAGGGTTCACTATTAATAAAGTTCTCAGTGTTATAACTTATGGATGCTTTGAGACATAAATCTAGATTGCCACACATAATATATTGAAGTCTTTACTCTGGTAATGTCAAAAGCAAGCTTAGACATTTTCCCCTTTTTTGTTAGTGAGACTCTCATAGCTACTCCACCTCCAAGGCACAGACCCTTTCAGAAAATGGTTAAAAAAAGCATTCAGTTCAATTTTCATTGCTTTGCATTTATAGCAATTTGCTTCCAGTGTATCACTGAATTTTGTGTTTTTTTCATTTGGAATTCAAACCAAGTTCCACCACTTCCCTGAGAGTAACAGCACAAAAAAAGTAGTATGAGAGTAGGCCTATACTCCTGTTTTTCTGAAACTGTTGCACTGGCACAATCAACTCAGAGGATGACTAGGGAAGGAACAAGGCTGAAATATTTCCATTTTTGTACCCATCTATGTTCTGTATGAATAGCAGAGTAGGCATAATTTGCATAGAATCATAGAATCATTTAGGCCAGTCAGAGTGGTGGCGGAAACTGCCACCTCCTGCTCAGCTGGGACAAAATGTTGCTCCACACTAAAGCCCCTAAGAGCCTGCAAACACCCTTTCCTGGCAGTGTAGGCAGAGCTGGTCAGTAGTTCACCTTTCTCTAATAGGAACCAAGAATGAATATAAGCACTTTGGAAAGTCTTCTGTAAATGCTCTTTGTGTGAGCAAGTTTGTAGAAGTATCGCTTGCTCCCAAATAATAGTTTTTAAAGCTCATGGCATGCAAAAGAAGGTTAAGTTTTGTAAGCCTTAGCACAAAGCTATTTATAAAGGCTTCAGATTTGTCTAAGACTGACTCTGTAGAGAATAATTAACAGCTCTAGGAAAGGAGGACAAAAGCAGTTATACTCAGTCCCTGGATTCCCAGGCATAAGTCATCTCTATTCCTCAGAAGCCGTTATTGTCTGAAAATATTATACATATTAAGCTATAAAATATTTTAAAGGCTTCTATGCATAAACATGCTCATATAGGTAAAATATTTACATATAATTTTACATTAAAGCTTCCTTTCTAGTCTACAAGTGGATAACTCTTAGAATCATAAAATGATAGAAGAGTTTCAGTTGGAAGAGACCTTCAAGATCATTGAGTCCAGCCTTTGTCCTAGACCTTTCAACACCACTAAACCATGTCCCTCAGCACAACATCTACCTCTCTCTTAAACACCTCCAGGGATGGCAACTCAACCACCTCCCGGGGCAGCCTGTTCCAATGTCTGACAACCCTCTCAGTAAAGAAATTCTTTCTAATATCCAACCTGAATCTCCCCTGGAGCAATTTAAGGCCATTTCCCCTTGTCCTATCATTCGCCACTAGGGAGAACCGACCACTCCTTATTGTCTTGTATGTAATATATTACAATGTAAATGAACAGGCCTGAGGACAAGAGGGAAGAAGAGGTGCCCTAACCAATACCTGTCCAGAAACTGCCATTACACTAATAGGAGGAGAGTTTTCTCTCCTCCCCCTTGTCCTATCATTCGCCACTAGGGAGAATCGACCACTCCTTATTGTCCTTATTGAGTTTTCTCTCCTAAAAACTGCACTAAGTGAAACCTCCTGGATCATGACCTTCATTGCTTTTTTCCTGAACCTATCATAGACATGTATAGGACTCTGATCCAAAATAAGATTTTCTTTTTTATTTATACATGTGCATTGACGGCAATTTCATTTCTTAAAAGTAACAGTCAAATGTGGAATTATGGCCTGGCTTAACAATCCTAGCATCTCCAAAACTCACAGTGAAATATTTCCTGCACATTTAGATTGGTCACTCCAGAGGCAATGGAAGCTCATTCCAAAAACTGATCACACACACACATACATACATACATACATGCCTGCAAGAAACACTCAAGAGGAAAGTGGTATCATTTTAGACTCACATCTGAGTTAGATACCTTGATATGAAGATGTACTATTACAACAGATAAAACAGTCTTCTGTTAGAAAACTTGGTTCATGGAAATAAAATAGATTTCCTTCATAAAGGTGTGCCTTCATTAAAACGTGACAAAAATGTTTTAAAACTAAACTAAATCATGAAGTGAAAGCAATTTAAACCAAAAAGGTCTGTATCTTACCTTGGTGTACTTGTTTGTGATTGTGCAAAAGAATACAACCAGTGCTGAAACCTTACGTACTTGCTAAAACTTGATAGGCAATTCATAGGAATTGAACTAGTTTTAACTTGGAGCAATAATGGGAAAATATTTTGAAATCTCCAGGGGTTGGTGAAGGAGATAATTAACAAATGAAACGCTAGTTATAGTTTAGGGATATATATATTCAAATGTATAAATGAATTTTCCACTGAATGCTAAAACCTAACAGTTCTCTGCTTTATGTAATTTATTCTTTTACCAAGTTCAGTAAAAAATATTCATCTTGCATACAGCCAAAGCTAGAAAAATAACATTTCCCATCAGCATTAACTCTCCCCTTATCTTTGAGATATTTAGCTAGTCTTGAAGCTGTGACATATGGGAATTTCACACCTAGTGAATATATTTTCATGTAGCTTGTGGCACAGGAGTGTAATCATTAAAAGAATATACACAAGTAAGAGTAACTGCAACAGCTGGTGACATTTACCAATTAGAATTACAGTTCTTTAAAACACTTCATCCTTCTTTAATGTGTGCAGGATAATTATCTTTGAAATTGCCGTGGAAAAAAAAATTAATTTTCCTTTTAAACAGTGTCTGCCTAGAGTAGAAATATGTCTGGTTAAGGAAGATTATCAATACTCAAACAGCATGACTCTCTGTCTTAAAAACTCACCAAAATCATTGCAAGTTAACCACCTTTGCTCATGGTGGGGAAAACACACATTAAACATAGAATGAAACAACAGTATAACAAATACTTCATTATCTCTCCCTATTGCATGCACTGAATGTTTTCTCTAAACATGCAAAAGAAGAAAAGGAAGCTATTAGGAGCATCAATACAGGCTTAGTGCTATATATTTAATGTTTTAACTTTTTTTTTTTAATAGGGATTATGTATTAAATGGCAACCTCTAATTACATGATCCTCTATTGTTCTAATTTGGATTATTAAACTTCAGGAAAAAAACTCCAAATAGGTTAATGTAGAAACCAAACAACAATTAAGAAATTGCACGTATCTTAGAAGACAAACAGAAACAGACATTTTCTGTAACTGTCACAGGGGGCATTTCATTACTAATATCAGACAGACTTGAGCTACGCAGTCTCCACATCTACACCCAATAGTAAAAAATTCTGCTCCTCTGAATCTCTGGCAGAACATCTGTTGAAGTTAATGGGAGAGTTATTTGCACATGTTTGGGAGAAGAATTTAACCTGCCATATTTATCTGGATAAGTGTAAAAAAAAAAGGTAGTCTGTCTGAAAACTTCCTCAAGAAAAAAAGTGTTTTCTTATGATAGATAAAAAGTTATTGTAGGTTTGTTTTATTCAGAACAGCAGACAAGATGTTTTGCCTATCTGAAAATGAAAGAGAACCAAACAAAGAGATGAATGGAGAAACTGGAAACACAAAGACATCAAATAAAATACCAGGAAATGAAGAGTTGTAAATAGGGTTACTTTGTCGCTGGTTACACAAGTAACTGAATACACTGGCGAGTGAATGAGTTTAAACAAGGGTGTAGGCTTCAGCACATTCTTTTTTAGGGTTAATCACTAGTTAACCTGGCAAGATGAACATGCTGTTTGGGAAAAAAAAAAGTAAAAATCCCTGTTAATTATATACTGCAAGTGCTCTTACTTCCTGCTGCTGCACCTAATCCCACAGGTGCAGGTTGTCTCTTTCACCATTCACTGGGAGGTGGGTCCAGATCGTCAGGCACTTTTTCATAGCAATGAAGTCAGCTAAAGAAGAAACAGCTTAACTTTCCCCCTTTAAACAGGAAAACACTACCCTAGTGTTTAGTAGTTTCCAAGATGATGTAGAAGTGGTATCGTGGGTGACACGCATCACTCCTACCTGCAAAATTTGCCTGAGGCACCTAGTCAGAAGTAATGCTGCCTTGATTTGATTTCCAGGCATTCAAATATTTTGCTGCTGAAATGTTTGCAACAAGGTTAATACTACCACTAGTATCAGGCTTTTCCTACAGGAGAGATACACCGAAGTTTCCGCACAGCTTTTGCAATGCAACAGTTTGTCACAAATCTCAATAAAAACCATGTACATTTATAAATACATGTCCTATGTTTATTCTCAGTTTGGCATTTGCCACAGAACATTTCTTAGCCTCAGAAAGTATTAAACAAACTTGTATTCTTGATATGACGAAGAAAAAAATTCTACTTTTATCGAGTTGCCATCCCGTCAAAGCATTAATGTTTCCAAGATGAGAACAGATGCTAGAGACTAACTATATAACAAGAAACTTCATCCCATTTTGTGTTTGCTCTCCTTTCCACCCCCTTCCCCTCCCCTGCATCCTGGAGAGAGACGTTTTAACTACAGCCTGGGCGTAACAATGAAATGAAAAGGAGTGATGAGCTGGAGGGGGCTATTGTGAGAAACACAGGAGCTCCTTATTCATTGTCCACAACCCAATGAAAGAGCCATGTCGGAAAATTTCACTGCCTGAAATTTCTCCTCTAAATACTGCAAGGCTCATCACTTGGGCTTTGGAATGACAGAATTAAAAAATAATGAAAATAGTTTTGGAATAGAAACTACTTGTACTCATGACAAGATCCTCACTCCCTTCATTTCTTACGAATCAAAACACAGAAGCCAGGCAGGAAGATGCGTATTTTGTCTAATCAGTCTATTACAAAAGGTAACACTTTATTCTCACATGGTTATGAAAAATAATATTTTGCTTAAATGAAGAAATACAACACGTTTTCCCTGCATCTAACACATCTTTTTGCAGAGAAAAAGCAACCCTGGCAAAAGTGAATTGTGTGCATTTTGAGAACCGTCATGCAGAACTTAAGTTGTGATTCTGCAAACACTTTTTCATATATGTGTAGTTTCATTGCAAGACATGCAAGTGTCTGCACCAGGATCCTGATTCTGTACTGCAAAAGGTCTTCAAAATGCTATAGTTCCTGTGAAGAAATCAGGCATTAAAATATGCTTCCTCCTCAAAAAATATGTATGTTCTACTACACTATTTTAACTTTCCTGCTGATTAGCAGACATTCTTCTGATCTCCATTTAAGCGGTCTCTCAAAAATTCTGCTGACTTGAAACAGGTGATGTAGGGCTTTCCCTCCAAGTGTTCAGTAGCTTGTTTTTATGGATCTGAAAACCGAGGGAGCAGTTCCCAGGTTTGAGTAGAGAGGGCAGGAGGAGAAGGAAGGAAGGAGAAGCCCTGAGCATGAGGATGATCACTGTTCTGTGCTCTTTATTTTAAGCAGAGGTCTCCAAGTAAATCCTGCTTAAAAATGAATAGCACAGTATAGGCACACCTGAATAAACATCGATTTCCCAGAAAAAGTCATTTACTTCTTAAAACCCAGCTAAACGAGGCCACACGGTCCAAGTGTGATATTTGGAAATGGAGATATCTGGAAGGCCCCAATGTGTACCTGCCTGGTAGGAGGCAGAGTTCCTTCTTCAGCCTCTCCAGGACCCCGTAAGTCAAATGCTGGCACATGTGTGAGGCCCCTTTTCATACCTTTGATCCCTGCATAAAGGCAAGAGCGGAGTGAGAGGCCTGGCATTGTGTGAGCTATGCACTGCTGGCAGCCCCGGGTCCTTCAAACGGCCCCTCCACACCCTGTACGACAGGTGGCCTACATGAAGTGACGGAGGATTAGGTTCCTTCTGTGCCCTCTAAATGACTGGCATAGATTACTGGCTCTTACAAAGGGATTTAAACATACCTTTCCAAACAAAAAAAGCGGTATATACATATGCATGTAACTGGATGCTCAATTTGTATGAGTAACTGCTCTTGGTTATATTTGTAAATGAGGCGAACGTGTGTAGAAATGACCAGCTAGAGACACAGTTATTTGTGTGCAAAACTGACTTACATGATGAGGAATTGAATACAATGAAATTATTTACATGACTGAGGAATAATAATCATTTGAGATTAACAATACGCATTTTATGCCCCAGTTCTACTGCATTTTTTCCCTGTTCTCATTAATTAACTGGCTTTGTGAATAGAATATTAAAACCAAAAAAAGTGGTAGAGAGGTTGTACATCTCTATCTCCTAAGGACTGCTTTGGCTTTAAAAGAAACTGAGAAAGAGTTTATAGAGGATTTGGGTGACTTTTCTTTTTTTTTAAAAAAAAAGAAGTAACCCAAATCAGCTCCTGCATTCCCAAACACCAAAAAATGGCATTAAAAAGAGAATAAATTGCATCCTTCATGTGCTACTTATACTTGTAGCATTTGTGTTATTTTGCTTTGAACATTTGGTTTCCTTCATGTGTGCAGCAGCCACAATTTCTTTTACCCCAGAGTCCAGTGCACTGTGACAATTGCCAACAAAAAGAGCATGAAAACAACTAGATGTTTTCATAATAATTTTTAGGAAATCATTGTTTTTACTGTTCTTAGTCTGACTTATTTTGCATCATTCCCACCACCAAAACAGACACAGTGTTCGTATAGCACTATAGGCAATGGCTGGGGAAAGCAATGAGAGCCTGTGGTTGTGTAAATCCTACCTCCTAAAGGGCATTCTGAAAAGTGGAGCCTCGTGTTGAATATTTTCTTAAACTGCTTAAACAAAAAAAAAAGAAGTGAAACTCTCTTGAGTTATTCAGAATTCTCTGGCAAGATTAATGAAAGGAAGGGTAGACAGCAGCTTTTTTACAAACATACCTGCCAAATGAACCGCAAGTCTGTGCCTACATTTCCCACCCTGGCCCTGAGAAACTCTTCTCCTTCTGGCGAATGTTCATCTTCATAGCCATTTAATGTCTAAACCCCCTCTCAATATTAATACAGTTAACCTTTTCCTCAAAATGACCAAGAATCATCCAAGACTGTCTTCCTCATTTTTTCATCCTTTATTATTTCTACTTCTATTTACCTTTTAACTTTTATATCTCCTTTACCTCTCATCCTCTCTCTGCTCAGTACTATGTTAATCTTCTAACATCTCTTTTCTCCAGTTAGTTTCTGGATATTTCACTATAAATCAGCATATTTTCCCCTCTTTGCCAAACACTGAGTCCAGCAATCAAAGATCAAAAACTTGGTTGAATTCACACACTCAGAAAAAAACCCAAAGGCCTTTAGCCTCTGGCAACCTCCTTCTCCCTGAGATCCACCAAGCAATCAACAGCTCTGTTTCAGGGACCCCAAGAATTACATTAAGGTGACCCAGTGAGATCTTCAAATGCAGGTGGGGCACGGGAGAATACACTCATCTGACAAAGTGCCATTTTGCACATTTGTAACTATATGAAAAGAAAGGGCGTACTCTGGTCATCTTTATGTCACTTCAGTATATGCAGCTATAGGTAAGGAGGGACAAGAAGAGATTTTAAAATGTTATCAGTTCAAAATACAGCCCTGAGAGGCATTGAATCAGCTCCAGCGCAGGCTTACTAGGTTACCGTCACACGATCAAGATCTTAGTGCAAATTCCTCACCCTGTGCCACCCCACTCTCCACTTCTCACTCCAGTTGTGAGCCTAGGGGATGACCTTGTAATGTGGCAACTTACAGCCTCCTTTTTAGTTGGAATTTGTATCTTTCACAACCAGTGATTTTAGATCGTACTGAGACTCGACACTCACTGTCAGTTGCGACACTAACACCTCTTCCTGGTCTCAACTCCAACCTTCACAAGGGGAAGAATGTGATAAAGCAAAACCAAAAAAACCAAACCCCAGCCAACCAAGCTCCTTAAACCTCAGAAAAACATCCTCCAGAATTTGGAAAACATTTGCTTACTCAGACCCAGAGCCTCCCTGAAGTACAGTTTGCATCTCTATTTGAAAACCGTAGTACTACAGTCTGGTTCACATCTTGGGCTGTGGGAAAGGTTGTGTGGGACAGCTGAGAAGCAAAGAAGCTGTCAAAATGCAAGAATCCTGACAGCCTGCTTATAACCTGGTTGCCTCTCCAGGCCAAGCAACACTGTTCAGTGAATGTGAGAAAGGCAACGGGGCTGCAGCAACCTCACTCCCAGCTCTGCTTTCCCCTCTCTTGGGAGCAGTGCATCCGTGTGTGACCTCACCCACAATATTCCCAAGCTTGTGGCCAAGGCATTTTTTTAGACTCTTCCTTGTTGCGAACTTCAGTGTCAACGTATCCAGGCCAATGGTGGAAGACTTTGATATCTTTCGAAACTTTTCTCCACCTTTGGAGGCTTTTCTCCGTCTTTAGAGGCTTTCAAAACTTGCCTGGATGCAATCCTGGGTAACGTGCTCTAGGCAATCCTGCCTTAGGAGGGGGGTTGGACTAGATGATCTCTAGAGGTCCCTTCCAACCCTGACAATTTTGTGATTCTGTGATCTGCTTCTCACAGATATTCCGTGTAACTCAGAGACTTTTTCATGTCCCCCGAATAAAGTTGCTGAATTTCTAATTTCTTCAGTAATTTTTTCTGTAGGCTTTTGAGTCTTAAGAGCCTTACCAAGGAACCTTTGGAGCTGCTCCACAGCACAATATATTAACAAAAGATATTCTAAATTAACTGGATTTAATATGAGGCCACTCCCTTGAAAGTAAGATTGGGCCTACCTTTTTTCCTTTCTATAAAGCACAACAACATTTATATAAATAAACAAAAAATCCTCACATAATCTAATAAAAAAATCTGAAACCAGAAATGTTTCAATTTGCTCTCTTATGAATAAAGCAAGTATAAAGATAACAAAATAACAAGTTACAATCCTCACTCTTCCACAACTGAAAAAGTGCACTGAGAACAACCTTTCTAAGCTTTGCCTTGAGAGTTACTTGTTGCTTGAAGGAAATGAAATGCCCTCTGAGGGTGGCTGTTTAAATACTCTTTGTGAAGCTATAATGAATCTCTGTAGGAAAGCAAAATGTCAACACTAAAAAATGTAAGCTAAATTCCTATTTTTTAATTACTATGAATACTAGAAAAAAATAAATTAAAAGGGTTGTACTTACAGGAACATCAACATATTTTGCAGCTGCTTTCACCTTTAGAAAATTTAAAACAAAAACACACAGTAAGTGCTTGCTACTACAGCTTGTGTGCAATTTCAGAATTATGCACAGGAAGAACAGAACCATTGTGAATCCAAACACTTACAGTGAATGAAACTAATGATGAGAAGAAAGTGCCTTCATCATATCTTGACAATTTAGACAGCACACCTTCTAACACTGAAACAACCTGGAGGAAAAGCACAGAGAAAAATCTAAATGCACAATATGAAATGTAAATATTTGGAATAAGAATATAATTTTTTCTTCCTCAAATTTTTATTGTTCAGCAGGGCAACGTAAGCTACAAATCTGATCACTTTCTCCATCTCGCTTCACCTACTGAGCGAACTGACGGAAATCACTAAACCACTGCAGAAGTAAAAACCCAACTTGAAAATTCTCCTATGGTGGGCCTGCTATCCAACACAACTTTGCTGCCGCTAGAATGCATGCTTAAATACAGGAGTGTGTGCACTCAGCATATATTTTGGGTACAGAGCACATGTTATTTTCTAGGACCACAGTTTTTAAGATCACAGCCTCAAAGATGATGGAGCACAATTGTTAAAGGTGGTGGTCTTGACATCATGTTTCTCTTATATTTGCTATTGAATAGAAAACCAGCTTTGATTTCACCCAACACTGTAATAGCAGTAGAGCTTTCTGTCAACATGTGCTGTTGAACTGCTACTACACGGCCAAGAAGGGACAAGAGAATGTATGCCCCAGATCTCTTGTATGGTGGCGTTCCTCTCCACCAGACTTTAACCTGTGATTCTCCCAGCAGTGTGACTCCTCGACAAGTGGCATGAAAAGGTGTTTTTTGCCAAAATTTATTTCTGATGAAAAAATATTTTATTGATTGCATTAATTATAGCCTTAATGTTTAAATTTCTCCAAATTAGCCGTAAAGCAAAGAAATCTCTTTCTCGTATCCCTCTGATGTTATGTTGCTCAAGTAATTCATGGTATATAACATAAAATATCTGTCATTCGTTGTATTTGTGCACATTTATTTTAGACATGTGAATTGCTTTCCAGTTTATATAAAGATAGTTTTAGAAGTCGTCCCTTGCTCCCAGCACAGTCATTCCCACAACCACTAGTATTATTTTATGAGTGTGAGGACAGAACGAAATTCCATCTGGCATGCTGTTAATGGGCACTGTAACAGTGTCACAACAGTGTCACCTCCAGAGGAACCGAGATCATCACTTTACAATAAGCCCTGCTCTTAACAGTTCAAGGAGCAGGAGCAAGTGCAACTCTGCATTTGTCATTTATCAATCTAGTCTGTCATATTTACAGTGATTAATTAGGACACCAGTACACGGGTGTCAATCAAGGAATAAAATCACATCATGAGAGAGAGTGGCAGTTGTTTCTGCACCACATGCATGGTATAATTACAGTCCTTTATTAGACCAAACACCAGCTTTCTGCTTTGCTGTTGCACGCCTGTGAGAAGCTGCTGTTCATACTTTAACTCATTTCATCTGACTGGCAAGGACCCCTTCTGCAGAAGGGTGTTCAATCCTACTGTGCAAAGATCCGCTATGGAAGGGGCTGGTCTCACGAACAACGTGGTGTCCACGGTGCCAGCTAAAGGTTCCAACACAAAAGAACAACACAAAAAGAACAGAGAGCAAAGTGTTGCTGTGTCAGGGACATCCATTTAACTGAAAGGCTTAGTTATGAAGCTGGACACTTGGTTTTTGAGACAGTGTACAACATGAGAAACTCTAAGAGCATTTCTGTATATATCTCACATTCTCTGAATTGGTTCCCTGAGAAACACTGTGCTTTGTTTCGCTGTTTTGTGCTATTCCTATGATTTGTTAGATGCTTTAGCTCGTAAGTCTTGTGTCCAAAATGCACAGTATAGTCTTTACCAAGTAAAGTCTCACTGAAGTGAAAGTACTCTTTTAACTTGCATAGTAAACTTTCAGCTAAAAACAATGATTGAAACACTTATTCCACTGGAACACAAAGTGAATAATACAGGGGAAAAGGGTAAAAAATAATAAAAATATATTAGATGAAAAAGAATAACATACATAGATATCATGCACATTGATGTGCATTTTTCCTGGCTAAAACCAAGAGTGAAACATCTGTACCCTCAGAGGCCTTCTGCCTTGAAACAGAAGCAATCACGATGTCTTTGGCATTTCCTGTCTCAAGTGAGGAGAGACTGGTTAAGTAAATGACACAGAAGATTTGCTTCCTGGTTTGAAATTTCAACCTCTTGTAATAGTACGTGTAATAACTAATAATGCAAATCCCTCTATATTGACAGCAGCTGTCTCTACAATTTCTTGTACATATATCCAGGAGGAATATGACTATTTTCTTCCTTCTTCTATAATCTCAGACATTAAAAAAAAAAAAATCAAAAGGTTTAACTTTTAATCGTATGGTTTGCTCTGATTAAATTCCCCTTTCATCCTTTTCAAGAATACTAAAAAACACGAACTGACAGCTTAGCTTGGAGAAATGACAGACAGCTTGTAAAATGCAAAACTGTCGAGTTGAGCCATTTGTAGTCTTGTTTACAACAAAATTTAACTTCAGAGAGGAAAACACACGTGATTTCTATAAGTTTATGCGGAAGTGGACACATTTTGCTTAAACTTCTATGACAATTGAACAAAGCCTCCTCTTCACCTCTTGTGCAATCACGGTGGGTGTCACTGTGACAGGAGATTCCTGCTCCCCCCACCCCCTGCCAGCAGGCTGTGACAAGTGACAACGAAGACAGGATGAAAATATGACCAGTCTTATGTTTTTGTCAGTGACTCACAAACTACAAATGTATGGCTTACTTCTCCTGTTTTGAAAATCAGATACTTCCGGGCAGTTTGGAATGCATATGTAACAAAAATTCTCACAAAATCCTTCTTTTCTGCCACTGTCTGCTGTGCCCTTAAACTATTAGGGACTGAAAGCTTTTCTTTTATATCAAGCACTTAAGACTTTTACTGGAGTAGAGGTGCTACAACACCACAAGACTTTGTTTAAGTTTTCTTCACTTATTCGCCAAGTCCCTATATCATGTCAAAACACAACTTCTTTTCAAATAAAAACCCTAAGAGTCAATTTCAAGAAATATCAGCTTGTAAAATATTATTAAATTTAACAGTTTGTGCAACAGAGTCTCATTAAAAAGTTACACTGACACTCTGGACGTTGACCATTTCTAAACACAAAATGTAAATACTACTTAGTGAGAGGAAGAAAGTTTTCACGCGAGAAAATAAACAAAAATAAAACACGCTTTTACTAAAGAGTCTATCAACATAATAAAGTTCTACCTGTTCTACTAGTTGCTAGTAGTTCTTGCTTATCACGGAAATACAGAACAGAAACTTATCTGATAGCAGGTTGCACAGAAATTGTTTACGTGATGTGTTATAAAATTTAATTTTGTAAATTCAGTATTTTTTACAAATCTTGTTGGTGTCCTCCCAGTTTCACTGTGTATAGAAAAACTCTATGATATTTATAGACAATTCAGAAGTTCAATAATTACACATATATTTTTCTGCTTTATTATAAATTAAAATACAAAATAGTTTTACCTTTGAAACAAGAAGAGAAATAATTTCTTTAACAGTTTCTTCAATCAAGTCATCTATTTTTGAATGGTATTGTTGCTGTATTTCAAAAGATAAAGAAGCATTAGCATGTATACGAACACACACTTTTGTAATAAGTCAGAAATGGTACAAAGCTGATAACCCTGCCAGATCAGATTTACTTAAAATTATCATTTTGAACATCAGAAGAACAAACCCTTGAAAACGATCCACCCAATCAACACTTTCTTACATTCTCTGTTGAAAATTTTCCCATGTACACTGTTGAGTTAAGCAGCTAATGGGGTTATTATTTAGATGAATTGAGTTCTTATTCTTATTCAGGCGAAGGAATGTGAAGGATACTTTTTGTCTTCTCCTATATAATTAAGGTGGCCATGTATTTTTTTCTAAAGGGTTGATTTAGCTGGAGAAGCAAAAAGACTAGAATAAGATTTAATTAATACAGCATTTCATGTCTGACAACTCTCATTCATAAGTTATTTTAAATGTCCTCTAGAAATAAAATGAGCTCCAATTGTTCATCCTAAAAGAGCCTTTCTGCTAGCACAGTGAGCTGCAGTTTATACAAATCTTACAATATGCTCAAGCAAGGGCAAAATTAAAATTTCATCAACAAAGCAGAATAGATGGTAACAAATTAATAGGCCATAAAAGGTATAATAAACCCGACTTCATTCTCTGTAGCCTTTTTCTTTTGCTTTTTCATAAAGGAGGTGCCTTTAAGTAAATGCTTTTAAAATAAATCTGAAAGACTTTTTAGATAATACCACAGAGCTCCCTCCTGAAATTAACAGGAACTAGGGATCCCATTCTGTCAAGGAGGCACATCAATTTAAACAGTAATTCTTCCTTTAGAAACATTTATCTGACAGCAAAGATTGTCCCCAATAGCCACTTCACAGAAAATGTGACTTGTAAAGACTAACCCTATCTTCATAGTTCAAGGCTACTTGGAACAGTTAGCAGCATAATGCTCTGAGTAAAAGTACTGAGGTCAGTATAAACATTAGCCTAACTTAGCAGCTGCCAGTTGAATAGTTTTCAGAGTTCTAAGTTTTTAAAGGATATTTTTCATCTGTCTCAGAGTCACTGTACAAACCAACACATTAAATCCGATCTGCTTCATATGTTTAGGAATGATTTTCTATGCAGTGCACCTACTGAACCTGCTTTTAAATTAAGAGAGAACAAAACTATGAGATGTGCTTGTCTGCACATATGTATCTGTTCTAGGTACGAGCACCAAGCATGTTAAATTTTTGTTTTATCTTCTTTTAAAGTTTAAAAACACTTGGAAAAGGTAAAGATATGTCTCAGACAAACAACAGCAGGCATCTTGGAAGAGTGAAAGAATGTATTAGAAATACATCAAAGAATTTCCCAAAGTTCCAGATATATTTTACTCTAATCATATAAATATCTTGACCGATGTAATATTCTCTTGATGTGCTAAGGACTTAAATCACCAGAAACTGTGTGGCATCTGTTGCTTACACAGTCTTCAGAAGGCAATAGTTTTTTACTCTCAGAGATCAATAAATGACTACTGTCCCATAGATGTATGTCAAAAGTATACATGTTCCTATGATCCATGAAAAATCAGAGTTGTCCCTCCCATAAAGCACTGCACCTTTATATCTACCGCACATGACTTCGATGGGTCTATGTATATTCTAAGATTAGATCCTACAGTTTTGCTTCACCTCTTTTCTTTTTTTTTTCTCACCATAAGGCAAATATAATTTTGGAGGAATGGAATATAATCAGTAACTTCAATGAGTGACCAAGAAAAACAAGAATTCAAAAAATCCCAACAGGCTTCCAAAATAATGAGATTTATTTAGAATTTCTTTTTTTAACTTGAAGTAAATTTCCTTTTTTTAAAAGATTTAATTTTTCAGACTATGAGATCATAAATTTTTTAACCCACTCTTCCTCAATGCCAACTTCCACTAAAACTGCCACCTCTGACAAAACAAAATTTCAGATCCTCATGGAAGATTATTTGACTCCAAGAGACAGGCTTTAAGAAGATGGTAAATGTTGTATAATTCATGATTAAATCGTATGAGCTGACAAGGTTGCATGCATGATCCTGAAACTAGCACCTGCAGGACTGCAACTTTTCTACTACTGCCAAGCTTGCTCAGTGAGAGCAAACAAATCCTCACCTTTTTTTCTAAACACACGTATAGATAGTCGTGTCTTCACATTCTTCTTCTGGCTGATGTGGCCAGAGTTTGAATCTAGAGAAGTCAACTCCGACAGCTAAACTATATGAAACCACATTGTGGAGTCTTTCAGCATCATCCCAAAGCCCCTGAAGGACGTAACACAGAATGAGGCTTTGCCTTTCCAGCTCCCCCAGTGTAACTCCCAGTAAAACATGAAATACAGCTGCAGCTGTAGGAGGTACATGGGAGAAAACTATGCTTAGTGGCAAAGTGTGTCAGGAGATGCAACCAAATTGTCTTTTGAGGACAATATGGTTGGTCTTCCAAACGTGGCTCTCCACTCTTGGTAGTATTTGGAAGGAGATAAACTATTCTAGTGCCTTTTGACACCTGTGTTTTTGAAGAACAGAAGAATTTATTCCTGCGGTGATCATTAGAGAACTGTAATTTGCTCATTCCTACAATATATTCAATTGCCTTTTCCATTCTATCTCATTATATCCCAATATTTGACTTGGTTTGTTTTTATTACTTTAAAAAAAAAGATTTTCAAGCTAGCTTTCCTTTGTTTGTTTCAAGGTTGGATGGCTGTGAAAATAAATTGTGCATAATGAAACCACTATTGCCAGCACATAACATTATGATATTACATACATGTTAAATTGTCTCTACACTTTTACTATCGAATTGGCTATAATCCTCAATACTTACACAGTTAAATCGGTCTCCCACTTGAATTCTATGAACCAAAACAGATTCAGAAACAAAGTTCATCAAATTCAAGCCCACTTTTCCCTAAAATTTTCACAGCAATTAAGAAGCCAGGAAGGCAAATGTGGGAAGAAATAGCAGCAACCAGTGTGTTACTTGGCTGTCTTGCTGCACCCTTCCCTTGTATTCCATGAATTGCCACTCTGGTTGTCCATGAAGTAGGCTGCAGGCACCAACAGTTAGCATAAAATAAGGCAATTTTCCCCTGGACCTGCTTCTCAAACCCTCTTAAGACAACTGCCAACCAATGCAGAAGGCATCCAGCCAGACGAGCTCTCTTTAAACACAATGTAATGGTTGTGCCTGTAGCCAAATTATGCCGTGCTTCTCTTAATTTTAAGATGATATCCAAAAGGCAAGGTGGAGTCCTCCTGAATGGCAGATTTTGAAACTCTCTCTTAGAGTGGACTCGACTGGAAGACAATTTTGGAGAAGGGGGAGCAGTGCATGATATGTAGGAAACCCTGGAGATTCAACCAAATTTCGACTCTAAACTCAATGTGTTGTTATTGGTAACCATGACCAGAACTATCTAATTACATAAGTAGTAATTCTCTTCTCTCTGACAACGCAAGGGGAAAACTTCCACTTCTGACTCTACTTGAGCAAGGTATACAACTGCTCATAGTTCTGTGCAGGAAATGAGGAAAGGATGATGTATTCAAGATGTTTGAGTCTAATCATCTCATTAAATAACACCTTCCATCACTCTCAGAATAAGTTCTAGAAATTGTCAGATGGATATCCAGTGTGGAGTTTTAGGTGAATGAACAGGCCTTTTCACAGGTATTAACTCAGGCCATATGGAATGCTTTCCCTGACTGGCAGAAAAGACCATGTTTGAGACTAAAATGAAGATGAATGAGGATGAGGGAAAGAAAGGTAATATAGAAAGACCAAGTGGCTAAGTAGGAGTAATGGGAAATGCCAGAGCTGCTGTAGAGGAGTGTGAGATGTAACTCTTCGTGTTATGAGATGATCTCCTGTCTGCTTTGACAGATGGGCAGATTCCAGGAGTACCCTGCTCAACAAATCTTGAAGCAATTAAACCATGATACTAGTTACTGAAAAGCCTATTTTTAATTAATTAATTTAATTAATTTTAATTAATTAATTTAATTAATTTTAAAAATAACCCCTTAGGAATGGAAGGAACTGATAGACAAGAATTCGTAGGTTATGAGAAAGAAGGAAGTTTCCACATTATCTGGTAATTTTTGATATGTGAAGAATTTGAGATTCCTTTGGTTTATTAGATGAAGATTAATTTGGGGAGCTTGAAAGAAATATGTATTCCACCACAGGTATGCTAAATTGTCAAATTCTTGCACTGAAAAGAAGCATCAGAATCATTTGGAGTCGTGGTCAGACCTAGTAGGGAACAAGGACTGTATTTCTGTCTTGGTATTGTGAAGGATGATGGAGCTTGAAAATCTAGAGAATGGGAATATTTCAGAAGATGATCTGGTAGGTCCTGCAGTCTGAAAACGCAAACGTGAATGCTGAACTTTGGCTTTGAGGGGACTGGCTGACAGTGCAGGAGGCATCGTTGAGAGCATGTGAGAGGAATGGCGCAACGGTGGTGAATGAGTTGATACCACCTGTCTGCAGGTCTTCATGGATATTTACTGATATTGCCTGTCTCCAAAGAAGGGTGTGGACATGTCTGATTGCAGGTTACTGCTGGGACACTAAGTAAAAGATGATATGGCGTCATCATTATCAGGCAAAGAGTTGCTAGTTGTGGTTTAATATGATGAGCCTAAAACAAATTGTTTGTTGCTCTCTTGCCTCACTGAGAGGTTGAACAAATCAACGTGAAAAGCAGTATTACAATCTCAAATAAAAAGTGCTTGTTAACAATCAAAGAAAAAAATGTAGGTTAAAAAACAATGAAAAGACACTTACCCATTGACTAGCAAACTGGTTGATGCCACAGAAAACCAAAAGGAAAAATAAAGATGACAGGGTAGAACAGGAAAATGATGAATGTCTCATTGAATTGGAAAAAAAAAAAAGGACAATTACATTGAATAAACTAACTTAGAAAGATGAGCCAATAAAACAAAGAGCACAGTAGAGAAATGGAAAAAATTAACAGAAATTATATGACAAAATAATGAAGTACGAAACTGCTCAAAGCAGACATACTTTGTTGTTGCCAAATTCACACAAGGGTTTTTACCCTCTCTGCAAAACCAAATTACACTGCTAATGCATTAGCATGGCAAGAACAGCTCATGCTGGTGGTCTCATTCACCTATGATCACTTCACAGATCAGTGATGCCGACATATCCTTCAAAAGCACATCAGTGCTCAGCTGTGGAGCATCTACAGTCCTGGCAGCAGATTAGTGCCAAAATGGTCCCTGTCCTTGGGGACCAAATACAAAAAGACCTGATTATTTATTTCCTCTATTTTCAACATGTACACAGACACAAATGCTGGGTATACGAGTCACGGAAAAACAAACTCTTACTCATTTAAAACCTGTCTGTAAAGGAGTGTTTGGCTCTATTTTAATATGACAAAAGAGTCCTGAAGTGGGCGGTTTCTCTGCTGCAACCCAAGAGAAATTCCCAGAGGGGCTGTGAGTCAAGAAATTCTCTGAATGTTCAACAGACTCACAGGTCAAAGCAAATAAATTACAGAAGCACTCTGTCTTCTCTGGGGGAAGATGAGAGGTAGTGCCTTGCGTTATGCTTCTAGGGAGCAGTCTCTGCGTGCTCCTGTACAAACAGAGCTACGGGACACATTTCAGCTAGTTTGAAATTAATCTGCTAAGGACTATCTGCAGTGTGAGATGTTTCAGATTAACTGAACAGAGAAATTAAACATACAAAATTCCACTTACCTCTTGTCCTGCATCCAGTATGCAGAGTTTAGCTGTCTGCTTTTTGGCATCAACTAAGACATTAAACATTGTACACAGAGAAGAAGGGATACGCAAGTCTGTTGATTTGTTTGTCTTTTGCAGCTTGATTTCAAATGCAATTCTTGTTCTGTTTATTAAAATACAATTCATAATGTGAGTCTCTCTGATAATTCTGAACAACCAGTGTACAAATGTATAAACCTTACTAAACTTGTTGGCTTAAAAACGTACATGCACATGAGAACATCTTATAAACAAAATTCTGTTAAGTGCAGAATACCCACACATTCAATAAACAATTGCATTGTTGGCAATATCAAGGTTCGGCACTGCTCCAGCTACTTCAGTTGAATAATAAAAGTATTATCTCCTTGCCTACTAGGTAACAACTTGCTTCCTTGTATGATGGCTAAGAACAATTTAAAGCAATGAAAATGTCCCATGTTTTCCAACTCTTCTATGTTCAATTGCAGCTTATTGTATCAAATACATGCTTCTAAGAAATATAATTAAAAAATACTTTTCTGTCTTTAACAAAAAAGAGGATTTTATTAAAGAAAAGGAGTTTATTATTATGCAAATTTTAACACTCATATTGAAAAGTAAGATATATCTGGATACAAATAATAAACCCCCTAATTTTTATTTTTTTTTTAAAAAATCAGTATTTTTATGTGTCCAGACTATGCTTTCTCTGTGTGTGGGATCATGGCTTCTGAAGCACCTTATAGGAGATCCCTGTAAATTTTCTAGACATACAGATATTTCCTCTAAACTCAATGATATGTACTAAAAGCTACGGCAAAGATCTTTTTAGATCACCTAGGCCTGATCTAAAAGAATATGATACAGCTCAAGAAGAAATCAACACTATGTTATCCAGAAGGCTGGCAATGTAAAATTTAGTTTCAGTTGGTCATCTTACAGATAGCCTTCTTTTACTTATTGTATAAATGCAGAAATGCAGTATAATTTTTTGTTTGTAGTGTATGTCTTAGACAGTACTCTAAAACTAAGTAGTATTATTAACTGAACATAAAGAATAATTTGTAATGGAGAAATGTGCAAAACGAAAAAGGATTTCTCCTTGCAGAATTCTGAGATTTGTTAACATTTGCCGCAAATATAGAACAGAAAAGAGGTTTGGGTTATTCACTTCGAAGGGTCTATGCATAGCATATCTAGAAATTCTCCTTGTTATTTCTTAAATGTTGCCAAACTGCTCAATGTCAAATGCTGGGAAAGACAAACACAAGTCATAATCTCTTCACAGTTGTCCCGATTCCTATGACAGGAGTCTGGTACCTCTGTGAGCCAGTATGGCTGTTAGTATGTTAATTTTTGACTCTGTCTCAATTTTTAATTGATCATTTCAACTATACCTTTTAACACAGGCTTCTATCATGTCAGTGGCCATGAGTTTAAGTCTCTGCTCTAAATGGTGGGCAAATTCTGGTTCTGGCCAGTGAAGATCAAAAACAAACATCTGCAGAGCATCCAGTTTCCAGAAAAGATCTTCTGATGTAGCTGAGCCATTGCTGTAAGAAACAAAACAAAACAAAGTCCCCAGGAAACAGAAGATAAATGTATTGATGTATATCCCAGTTGCCACAGAATTATCTAAAGTAACAAATTTTCCATATCACACTATCTCTCTCCTTCATCGCACTGTATCCCACAGTGCAGTTGCTCTTATTCCGAGAACGCAAAAATGGTCATGGGAAATTTAAAATAATTCCCATTAGGGTGACAAAGTACAGTTTTCTCATCTCTTAGCTCATAAATATGACAATCAAGCGAGGTAGATAGGATGTTAGGGAACATGGAAAATGAAGTAGCTCAAATTTCATATCAAGACAGGAAAAATGAAGGGTACAGGAATTATTGATTAGCAAGGAACTTTTCAAAACAGTGAAGACACATGTTTTCTTCCCTTCATAACTCTGGTAGATAAGCCTACCAAAGAAGTGAGGTTGCAAGTAGGATGCTTTTAAAGGAGATACTAGGACAAATAGGACCTTGATAACTGCTTATTAATTTTAACTGAGAGAGTAACACCAATTTCTGATGGAAAAAAGAGAACAGAAACTATCTAAGAAATTTGTGCGCAAATGAAAGAGGGGATGAATATGGCTCTATGTCACCTCAGATTGTCCACGTAGTTTTAAAGTTCTTCCACTCTGAACCCATAGATAAATTTAAAGTCATTTGCTTGTGATAAGATTCAATAATTTAAGGACAATGCTAGCAGTAACTACAGTTTACACTTCCACTGCCATCGAGGAGTAATTACATTTTCATGACGTGCTGTATTGTAGTGCTTGGGTTATTGTTTAAGGGCAGTTATACTCTGCAGCGTGGCATTCCAGGATGTTAGTGACACAAGCAATCAAAACTCAGCCCAACAGTCCCAATTCAGATTTAAAGAGTATGAACAAGCTGCTACTGCCATCTTCTTTCTTCTGCCTGCTGACAGAAGAACATTACTACCAAAGTGTTAAGTGACCCCAGCTCTCAGGGGAGGGGTCAATGGGTGCTGAGTGCTCAGAGCAGAGCAGGATTAGATTAAAAATGCATCAAGAGGAGTGTGGCCAGCAGGTCAAGAGAGGTGATTCTACCCCTTTACTCTGCTCTTGTGAGACCCCACCTTGATTACTGTGTCCTGTTCTTGTGTCCCCACTGTAAGAGGGACATAGATATGTTGGAGCATGTTCAGAGGAGGGCCACAACGATTATCCAGGGGCTGAAGCACCTCTGCTACGAGGACAGGCTGCGGGAGCTGGGATTGTTCAGTCTGGAAAAGAGAAGACTCCAGGGCGACCTAATAGCTGCCTTCCAATTCCTGAAGGGAACCTACAGGAAGGCTGGGGAGGGACTTTTTACCAAAGTGTCCACCGTTAGGACAATGGGAAATGAATTTAAATTAAAGGAGAATAGATTTAGATTTGATCTTCAAAAGAAATTCTTCAGTACGAGGGTGGTAAGACTCTGGAATAGATTGCCCAGAGATGTTGTGGCTGCCCCTTCCCTGGAGATATTCAAGGACAGGTTGGATGAGACCTTAAGTAACCTGGTCTACTTGAGAGGCGTCCCTGTCCATGGCAGGGAGGTTGGATTAGGTGATCTCTTAAGGTCCCCTCCAACCTAGGCCATTCTATGAGTCTATGATTCTATGAAAAAAAACAATGAAAAAAAAATAGGAAACACCTCTAATACCTGACCACCTAACACATCCCTCAAGCAGGCGCACCAGCACTGGTTCACACCAGGCTAAGCCGAGACGGCAGGCAGTGAAGCGAAGCACAGCTCACATTCAGGGCTCTGAAGAAGATGCAGCAGGAGCAGCAGAAGCACTGCTTTGGCCTCACAGTCCCCCGTCACCTTCCGGACCAACCCATTGTACCCTTGCCTTAAGGCTACCGCACTTGAGAGCCATCGCTGCCTTCTTCAAAGCTGCCTCAGTGCTCAAGGGGCTGCCGGGCCAGGGGACGGGGCCAGGCAGAGGGTGACAAGGTGGGAGCAGGGGCACCCACCTAAGGAAAAGACTGGCTCCAAGTGACGGTCCCTGACACTGGCTTTGGTTTTAATTGGCACAAGTTTTGGTATCTCCACTAGCCATAGCAGGATATTCCACAGTTTTGGAAGGTCTTTTTGATCTCATATGTATTTTCCCACTTATTTTAAACAGTGATTGTTAATTTTACATTGCATCATGTTCTTGAAAGAAAATAGCAGAAATGGGAAAAAGGCTCAAGGGACTGCTAAGGTTACAACTTGCACAGGGACGTTACCTGTTAAGGTTGGACGTGAATGGGGAGCGCTTTTATATACCACTAAGTTTAATTAAGAAATATAAATAACAAATGACCAAAACTTCTCAGAAAGTTTATAACCCTGTTAGACTGTGTCTTAAGTTATACAATGATCTTCAGCATGTACTGAAGATTTCATTACATCTGATAAGAACATATGCTTTCTAGAAAATAAACCACATTTTCTCAGGAAAGTACCATTTTTCATAATCAGATCATACCACTTAACCAGTTTTTAGTCTTCCATAGGTTATTCTTTTTCACCTAATGGAATTCCATATGAAATTCTTTAGGATTCAGAAGGACTAATTTGCTCTCAATAACATCAAGGAATTCCTACACATGTTCACTCCCTGGTAGACAAATAACTTGGTTTCATTATACTACCAAATAAAGTTCACAATTATAATAAATGTAATGATAGACATAGGTTCACAGAATGCTAATTCATTCCTTCATTCATCCTCTTTTCAACTTATTTTGAGGTCCCACTCCTCAATTTTTTATTCACCATTGTCTAATGTTATTTGAATTTGACTAACATATAATAATATGGAGAAAGAAAATAAAGTGCTACAACAGAAACTATTTGTTCCTAGTTCACATATCCAGACACCTGTCTAATTTGTTTGTTAAATGCTGCAGAGAATTGTGATTCCCATCACCTTGTTACTGCTATTTGTACCAGATACTTGGTTTACTCGAATTTTAGGATTTTTCCTGGCCCTTATTCAATAAAAGCATTAGAAATAGTACTAATTATCAGCACATACCTCGATAGCCTGAAGTGTTTGTACAATCTACAGATCAGCTTTCCCTAGTAGGAGCTGCTTATGTCACTTCAAGGTTTAATAATCCAGAAAGTGTAACATGAAGAAGAACCAAACTCAGTTTTTACCTCCTGGCAGCAGGAGCAATTTCTTCATTCAGATGAAACCATCAAAGCATTTGGATCTACATCCATAACTGCAAACCCTTTCTTTTTTTGTGAAGGGACAGAACATGTACTTGGTTACTGAAAAGTTATTTGAACATGTATGGTAAAGCTACTTCAGTCTAATGAATGGAGTAATATTACTCTATGAGGAAACTGAACAGCTACTCTTTCTTTAAAAATCTATATTCAATGTAGTTAACTGTATCTTTAAAATTAAGCACAAACTCCACTGTTTTGCTGGTCAAAACATAAGATTTCAGCACTAGGTCTTTGTGCAAAAGGTACCATCTAATTGTCCACTCTTTTAAAGAAGTAAGAGAAATTTTTCAGTATTTAAGAGGCAAGTATGATGTCCATGCTATTTTTTTTTTTCAAATGGCAATTTAACTTTGTATTTGGTCACATCTTGACTGGGAGATTGGGCCAGATATGTCCAAGATATCCATTTTAACCTCAATTATTCTATGGCTTTATGTCTTGCAACATACTGAACACAGTGAAAAAGGTCCAAGACATAATGTTTCTCCAAGACCCTGCAGAGTATTAAACTTAGTTGCTGTATACAGCCTCTGAAGCAATTTGCTTATCCACTGACAGCTGAGAGAGACAGCTTTCCACTAGGCTTGCCAGCTACCTAGCAAGTAGCAATTAGTCCAACAGTCCACTAATAAAGCACACTGGCTGAAAGATCAGCACACACACAACTCCAGTGTTGATGTAGAGTATGTAATTTCTTCCCTAGATCTCAAATTCCACAGTGTTGCTAGGGATATGAAGATATCCTGAAAGGAGGTTGTGGTGAGGTGGCTGTTGGACTTTTCTCCCATGTAGCAAGCAATAGGACAAGAAGAAGTGGCTTCAAGTTGAAAGAGGGGAGGTTTGGATTGGATTTTAGGAAACGTTTCTTCACATAAAGAGTTGTCAAGCATTGGAGCAGGCTGCCCAGGGAAGTGGTGGAGTCACCATTCCTGGAGGTATTTAGAAGATGTGCAGCTGTGGTGCTTAGGGACATGGTTTGTCGTGCACCAGGCATTCCTAGGTTAGTGGTTGGACTCAATGATCTTAAAGGCCTTTTCCAACCTAAATGATTCTATCATTCTGTAGGAGAAATATTAAATATCTAAGGACATTTCCAATCAATTATAAGACTTAAAATCAGCTGGCTTTCATTCCTGTAGAATTTGCCAAAGGCAATGATGGGGATTTTATAAATTACTGCAATTATCTTTTGTAATTTTATTAGTGAGTTACTAGCCATTAATGTTCTGTGGGGGCTGTTTATAAAACAGGGCATCAACTCTGTGTCCTCAGTGAGTCCCCAGCTTGCGAGCTCCAGCTCTACTTTTTTCCTGCTGCCTCAGGGCAGTATTTTCAGGGCTCAGAAAGGCAACTGAGAACTTCTTCAACAGAAAAGGATTTTCCACAATTACAGAGTCAATGGCGCAGAACTTGGGCATAGCAAGTGACTGCTTTTGTATGGTGTCTCAAAGACATTAGGGACAGAGTTACCACTTCACAGTTTCTCCTGCTTAATTTGCAAGTGAGTTAACCTGAAGATCAAGCAACCAAAACATATTTCTTGATTCTTCCTGCATGTAAGCATTTTTGGAAGAAAAGAAATTTGGCCCACAATATACATTCACCTTCCAGAACACTCAAGAGGAACTAGCTATATTCAAAACTCATTATTCCACAGGAAGTAGATCAGCTAAATTCCACTATTCCATCAGTCCTATAGCTATACTTTTAAACACTCCTCCTTAAAACCACAAACCATGATCTCCTTCCACTTTACTGGAGGCAAGCACTGTGTCAGGAAGACATGTGGCACAACAGATGCAGTCCCTCAGAAGAGCACCGAAAGGTGGCCTACTGACTTACACAGCGTGCACGGACAGCATGAGAGCTCAGGCAGTCCCTCTTGTCACTTATAGCTGAGCCATAACTGGAAGACTATAGCTGGCACATTTCCTTGGATGTTACTTGTTCTGGCTGAAAGACAAGACAGAACTATTCTCCTGCAGCCTTGAGTTTTGCTGAACCTGATGTTCTAGATTCGCACCAGATAGCAACGGACCACCTCAGGCCTGTGTCTACAATATTTCTGGTTAGTGAATATATGTCACGGCTGCACTGAACTAATAATACATAAACTAAACCATAAACAATTTAAATCACCCACAAATCTAACTTAAAAGCCAGCTCCAGAAGGGGCAGAGAAATTAAATTAAAAATATGAAATGGAACAAAAATGCAACTTAGAGTTGTATGTTTGAATTAGAAGCAAGCAAACCCCTTTCTCTCCTCATCCTAGCTTATTAGAAGCTTTTGCAGAATATTCAGACTTTTTTTGCTCTTTAAGGGTGTTGTCTTCAGTGAAATGGAACAGTAATCCACAGTGCTCTGCATGTCTAGCCAAGGTATCCTCTGAGTTGTCCTCTCCTGAGACCAATCAAGAAAAAGACTACTATTCATAACACTTTCCCCTTTTCATATCTCTCTTTCCAATGCCCAATAATAAAAGGTTAAGCCAAAACAACTGAAAATGAGGTAACAATCTTCCTAAGTGCTGTAACAAGCACCATGTATTTATTAATCCAAAATGTCATCAAGGAGAAAAAAGCACAACAGTTAAAGATATAAACAATGTTCTCTAGTAATGCTCAGAACTGCATCAACTTTTACATGAAAGAAAGGAAAATCTATTTTCACTAACAAAGCACACAAAGAAATGTCTAACTGAATACATTTTCACTTCTTTCTCTTCAGCAAAAATTCTTAGGTAGGCACATAACAGCTCTGTTGAATATAAATGGGTTTAAACATGAACATAAAAGCACGAACATGAACATTAGTAAAGTTCTGAGGAATACGAAATCTCTTCCTATTGGAGACAAGACAGACACAGGACTTGACATCTTCCATAAACATTTAACTATAACTCGGTTCACTCACAGACATTTTTTTTCCTACAGATTCTTTGTTCTGTAATTTGAATTCATAACAATTAATTGGCCAAAAACATCACTTTCAAAGGGA